GTCTGGGTGCTCTGTTTTTAAGAGCAGCCTGATCTAAGTAGCGTCTGTGTGATATGATATTTCACATTCCACTTCTTAATAACTGTCTTCACTGTACTCAAAGAAATAATCATGTTTTGATCTGTGCCTCTGTATCACTCTCTCCCTGGTTTATTTCAAAAGCTCCTTGGTCTTCGAGGTTGATTTAATGCATCACTTTGTGAGTTGTGGCTTGAAATGAATTTATTTGAGGGAACGTACAGAGACAGCTGCCTTTACTCAAAAGTCAAGTTAAACCAATTGATTACATACAGACAGAGACAAGTTTGTCAGCATTCATACAGTACTATTCTTTTGTACCTGAACTGACTTTAGGATGCTGTGTCAAAAGGGTTACATCCTGGAGAATCTTCTGTTTTAAAAAAATAGATGTTAAAAAATTCTAAATCGTAAATCCTATTTGAAAGTGTCATGATTGCAAGCTCAGAAAGCAACAAAATGTGGAAACTTTGCAGGGTATTGAATGCTTTTGCAAACCACTTTTAAAACTTGTGTAACCCCTGCAGTGTGTTGAAGTAATTCTTTTGGGATTGAAATGAATATGAAGTCTCAGTTAACTCATGTTTCAGACCTTGGCTGACCCTCATACAATTTTACAAAAAGGGTATGAGCAAGAGGTATAAAAAGAATAGTCCAAAAGAAGATTTAAATTACAAGCAGCTTGATTACTGTTTGTATTAGAGTGCCAAGACATAAGTGTGATCAAAATAAATTGTGCTAAGCGCACTAGAAAACTCAAAATTAAATGCTAATTTATGAAAATTAACAGATTTATGGAGATGTAACGTGTTTTTCAAGACATTTTTAAGCAGCTCAGTTTCATTGTGCAACAATATTGCTTTGTATTGCTGCTGTACGAAATCTTTACTCTGTGGAACTAATTAAAAAGTTCAAACCATTTCTTGGAGCTGGTATTTGTCTTGGCTTAGGTCTTTCCCTTTTAGAATTTATCAAAAGGGAATGAAAGCTGTCCTAAATATACAGTGCCTAAGCTGTTACTGGTTCTCTTCGCGTAGACAGTCTCTTTTTTTCAAGTAAGGATTTCGACTGTAGTAAAGTTTTCTCTTGCCAGCTGCATGTTTCCCCGTCACAGAATGTGCTCATCACGGTTTGCATGCTTTCCACACTTTTAACTTCTGAAAAGTGAATAGCTTCTCCACCATCTGATGATCTTTGTTGTCGTTTTGTCTCTTTGGCACACCTCTCCCTTGTGCACCACATGTCTCTCTACCTAGCTAGGCATTCAGTTGCATATTTTTCAAATGAGCATGATTTCAGTCTTCTCTTAAGGGTGTTCAGTTCTTTTCCATTTTTAAGTTTCAGGGCTGAAGGATTCAAGGTACATAACATTTCTATTTTACTACATCATTCACTCAGTTTCAGTAATCGCTTATCCATTTCAGGGTCACTGTGGCCCAGAGCCTATCCTGAAAAACACTGGGTATATGGCAGAATGCCCCTTGCACTACTGGGCTGCCCTCTTTGACTACTTCTTATATTTTATTGCTTTCATATGTGGAATTATAATTCACATTATTGCATTTGTATCTTTTAAGGGAGACGTTTTCAATGTTAGCCGTTGATAAGTGTAACAAGGACCAAGGGAACATACCTCCTATTTCCCTATATATGCAGATACTAACCACGCTTGGTGGGGTTTTCAGGAACATAACCCTTGCTATTGGCAAGAGAAACTGGTACTTAATAGCATTTTGATGAACTATTCCAAGTTAAGTGAAACAAGGACATGTATAACCATTTCTGCTTTATTGGAGAAGATCTTCATGTGTCAAAATAAGAATTTGAGAAGCATTTCATTGTTACAGATAAGAAAATATCAAGTATGTACATGCCAAATACTGCCAAATATACTAAAACACAAAAATGTAAATGATGTTCTGTGAGTGAAATTACTTTGTGACTCCATGACAGTTTGTACAACACATTTCATTGCTTTGTCTGGGTTGCATTACCTTATTCACTTTTATTTTTTGTAGATTTCACAGTCATAATATTTAAATAAATCTGGATTTCACCGTTTCCAGCATTCAAATCTTGAAATTGTTGATAAGCCAGCAAAAGGGCAAAATAAAACAAGAAGAAGCACTTAAAGTCCCAAAGTTAACAAAACCAATATATTTCAATGTCTTAATTCATTTGAAATATCATTAATATCATGCAGTGGAATTTGGAAATATTGGTTTTAAATGGAGCAGTCTTTGCTGCCTTATGTAGACAAGGAGCATCCTTCATCAACTTAATTGATCATTCTGTTTCATGTGGTGAACACACCCATCCATATTAAGATGCAGATCTGTCTGCATCAGCAAAGTTCAGTTTAATAGCCAACAATGCCAGCTAGGCTTGTACATTGCTCGTAATATATCCAACACCAAATCTATAGCAGCATCATCAGCAGTGTTCTTATACAGTAAGTAAAGAATAAAACATTACAGGTCATACAAAGGAGTATATCACCTGTATATAGAGTATGTCTTGTGAATGCTTTCACATGGTTCAATGTACTGTAGATTATTATTATCACACCTGAAGAAGGTTCCACGGCCCAAACGTTTTCTTCTTTTTTCAGCATGGAATAATAATAATAATAATAATAATTGCTTACACTTACTGTATATAGCGCTTTTCTGGACACTCCACTCAAAGAGCTTTACAGGTAATGGGGACTCCCCTCCACCACCACCAATGAACTTATTACTTGTTCCTTTGCACCCTACGCATGCTGACGCAGCTACCCACCTGAACTAGCAATGTAGATTATATTTGTATTGAAGAATTACGTTATTTTTTATGTTCATTATTAGTTAGAATCCTTTTTATTACTGGCAGCGGGCAATGTGAGAGAAGGGGGATTTCTAGGATATTTAGTTTTTTTCCATCCCACTTGCCCACATTACAATAAAAGTAGAAAGTATACAATGGGGAGGGGGTGTTATTAGTTTTAGCTTATTTCAGTGTAGTAAATGAATTTCACAGTGGAGATTTAATTATGTTGTCCATGTCATGTTTTTCACATCCATGAATTTTATTGGGCATAGCGGTAAGGAGAGGACACATACTGTACATTCTGTGATGTAGCAGATGACATGCAGGGATCACTAATGCCTGGAAGTGAGTGTGATCATCTTGACCCCTAACAAGATTTCTATGAGGTACCCACTGGCACAGACATCACACAAGTGAATGTGGGAGAGAGGTCCTATAGGACGTCAAGACCTGCAACAGCATGTTACTGACAAATATAATAATCCAACTTGTCTCACAGGTGATCCATTGAGTTAATACTGAGTTGTCTACACTGAAAGTCAATCCATCGCTTGCATAATCTCTACATACTGTACAGGAATTCCTATGTAACCCAGGATGGGAGATACGTGTTGTTACAGTACGTTGAAAACAGTCTGCCTGCCAAGTTGCCCTAGCAGTTGTACTGATGGTGAGCTGTTGTCCACATCCTGCAGGGCTTTGTGAATAGTCTTTATAGCAATAACAGCCAACTTAGATCAATAAGGATGAAGTCAGACATCAGTAAGGCACACATTTATCAGAACTTACATCTTTTTCACCTTAAGTGGCCAAGGTCATTTTTTGCTATGTCTTGCAATATAAGCCTGTTGAAGTAAGGATTTGGCCACAGTAAAGCCTACAGTGCCACTTGCCATAGTCTTTGGAATGTTTGATTATTAATTAAGTTATTTAAAGGCCTAGTATGGAGATTTTCTGTAAATCTGGCTGATTGATACCAAATATTTTTTGGTATAGTTTTCAAATAGTTTTGAAGAAGAGTATTCAAGTCCTGTATTGCTGTGTTGATATTTGGAGATGAGGGCAATCGGTTACACTAGCCGTTATCCTAACATGGTTGAACAAAAGCGATATGGTTTCTAGGTATACATTAATATGATGAGCAAACTAACGACTGCCACATTCCAGCATCCAATATCCTTTGTGCTTGGATACTCTCTGCAATCGTCTGTCATGTCATCTTGCTAGAAAGCATGAATGTGTTGTTTTCACAGGGCTGGGATATGTGGAGTGCACATACTGTACTGTACATCATTACGCCCTTCCACTGAATGACATTGCATGAAATCTGTGCATTGTCGTTTATTTCAAATAAACAAATCAGAAACATTTCTCACAAATCTATTTTCCACTCATCAAAACAAAGCTTTTGCCACTTTGCTGACAAAAGTAACCTGAGGATTTATTGCACGATTTACCATCATTCCCGTAACTTACTTCATCCCAATCTACTGATAACGCATTATTATGTAAATTCAGTCCATTATTTTTGAGGAGTAGGTACTCTTTATTTAATTCAAAAACCTTATACAAAGTACTTCATTAACATCTTGTTTGTACTATACAAATAAATAGAAGCCCACAGCTCTGTGATATAGTGAAGATGTTAAACAGGAGGACATATTAAATCAGCACCTGATATGAAATCAAGTTTATTTCTTTAAATTGTTCTATGAATTGTACACCTAATAGCTAATATTTAATAAAATTACAGATTTCTAATACTTAGGAAAAATTTTAAAATAATATGTTAAATTTCATTTAGCTAAAGATGTCGGTGATTTCAAATCTGATTGATGAAAATATGTTCAGAAATGAATAATGAGCAAATCAGCAAGGTTAGGTTGCTTAGGTTATATTGAGCCAACTAACACGTTATGTGTCCTTCTTTTTTAACAATGCATTAATGCATTCTGTTTTGAGTGCATTCATCTTGTTAGCAAAATTGGTTACCAAACTCAAAAATCTGAAAGAAGGATTAAAATATTAAACTGTATTCTACTGTATGTATTTATAGCTTATGCATCAGCCTGAGTATGACCATTTAAGCATGATATATGAACTCTACAGGTCCCAAAGAGGTTAAAAGAAAATTATTAAGTTCTTTCTTTGATTTTATTTTCCTACTTTTTTAGTATTCCGTAACATCTCTGAAGACTATTCCTGAACTGTGCCGAAGATGTGACTCTCAGAACGAAGACAGACAAGGTATTGTTAAGCCTTCACAGGACATCTGAACATTAGCATCACTTCCAAAACATAGACAGAAAATGTAATGTAAAATTTATTGTATAATTTTTTTTTGTATTATCTCTGCTCTCATGGACCTTTTCCATGTATTGTTTTTTATAATAATGGAATTAATCTTGGCACCAGATTTCCAATCATCTGGATGCATTACATCAGCTGTACTGTTCTAGCCTTTTGGGTTGATTATATAATTTTATGAGGTATTTATGGTTATTAGAAAGTTCAGGTTCCATATGTAAAGAAGCAGTTATTATAACACAAATGACATGTAATTGCACCCACAGCACACTGCAATATTGCTCTTAGGCATTTTCACACACAAGCAGTGGTACATGTATGTCAATGTTAAAATGGGGAAGCCACTTATTCTGGCAGTGCAGAATTATCCTTAATGATAAACAGCAAAGCAAATATATGGACAAAGAACAGAAACTAGGATATGAATACCTGCTCACATTTGGCTGCGTTGGACATTGTCAGGAACACTAAACCTAAAGTTCCAGGTGAGCTATAGCTTCTAGGTGCTGTCATTATATATAATATAATAGGTTGTTCATTCTCTTAAATAATAATTTTATCTTGTAATTACAGTACTGTACATGGTAATGTACTATCTTGTTATAATTATCTTTTAATGATAATTTACAATCTAGTAATAATAATACCAATAAAAATAATAATTCCCTACACTTATATAGTGCATTTCTGGACACTCCACTCAAAGCGCTTTACAGGTAATGGGGAATCCCCTCCACCACCACCAGTGTGCAGCCCCACCTGAATGATGCGACGGCAGACATAGTGCGCCAGAACGCTCACCACACATCAGCTATCAGTAGGGAGGAGAATAGAGTGATGAAGCCAATTCAGAGATGGGGATTATTAGGAGGCCATGATTGGTAGGAGGCCAGGAGGAAATTTGGCCAGGACAAATTAGGGGTTATACCCCTACTCTTTTTGAGAAATGCCCTGGGATTTTTAATGACCACAGAGAGTTAGGAGCTCGGTTTTATGTCTCATCTGAAGGACGGCGCCTGTTTTACAGCATACTAGGGTATGAGAACCCACACAGACTGCAGGATGAGCGCCCCCTGCTGGCCCCACTAACACTTCTTCCAGCAGCAACCTTAGTTGTTCCCAGCAGGTCTCCCATCCAGGTACTGATCAGGCTCACACCTGGTTACCTTCAGTGGGTTGCCAGTTGTGAGTTGCAGGGTGATATGGCTGCTGGTAATAAAGAGATAAATTTCATGAAATTCCAAGATATACATTCAAATTTTTTTTTTGACTTTGTGGCAACAATGCGCTTCTGCAAAATTTTACATCATATTCTAGATGAGCAATGGGCTTGTTCTGTGTGGTCTTTGTAAAATTTCCCCTTAATTCTATCCGTGAAACAGTTTCTAAGTTCTCTTCATGAACTGTTGTGGCAGAAAAAAGTTTTAAAAAATATTTAATATGAAATTTGTCTGAGAATCCGTCATTGGCTAACTATGATAGGAACACCCCACTGGCAGAGTGTAATAGATAAAGCTACTGATGTACTCAAAGTTGGCTCTGTACAGTATGTAAATAACAATATAAATAACATGCATAATAGTAAAATATGTAATACGATTGACAATGGTAATACAGCATCTCAGAGTTTTAGAACTTTTCAATGATTGTAATGCCTGCTTCCTGTCCAGCATCACTGAACAACAGCACCACCCTCTGATCAGAGACTACAAAACATATCGATAATATGAGTAGTAGATGCACATTGAGGATAAACTATCATATGCTTTTATGTTTTTCTTAAAATAATGGAAAAAACGTTGAATAAAAATATTTTAGTTGTATATTATGTATATGTTATTTTTTATTTACAACATTTTAAGATAGAAAACAATAGGCAACTTTTATTTAGTTCAGCTGTTTAGCCTTCGGAAGCCAAGATTTACACGTGCAACAGTTGCATCTTTACTGCAAATCAAAGTGCAGCTTGACCTCAGCTGCTTAAAGTTATTTTCTCACAATTTGCACTCCGTTCCTATTATAGAGTATATAAGTGTTTAGTCACAAATGGCCTTATGAAATACCATGCTGATTGAAATATCCCTTAGAGAGAATAAAAACATACAGCCTTCTTTTTTGACGCTTATAAAGTGCAGACGAGTGTCCCTTTACTGTTTATATAAATAAAAAGTGTATCCATCCATCCATACACACATTTTCTAACTGCTTTATCTGATACAGGGTTGCAAGGGAGCTGGAGGCTATCCCTGCCAAGCAGCGTGTGAAATGTACACCTTGAATGGGACATCAGTCAATCACAGGGCAAGCACAGACACAAATACACACTCACTTCCAGACAAATTTTCCTAGAATGCAGTTAACTTACCAGTATGTCTTTCGACTGTGGGAGGAAACCAGAACTCCCAGAGGAAGCCTATGCAAACATGGGGAGAAATACAAACTCCACGCAGGCAGCACCCCAGGAATTGAACCCAGTATTGAACGCTACTGTACCTCAGCATTGTGAAGCAGCAATACTAACAACTGCACCATAGTGCTGTCCTTAAGAAGAATATTGGCACCACAAATTCCTCATAATGAAAATAATAGAGTTGTGTACCAGTTAATCAGGAGAGAAAACAAGAAGAAGAATTTCCTGAATAATGAAAGTGAAGGTCCTTTCACGCCAGGAAGTGGTATGATAATAGTTTAATAATAACACAGGAAAGAATTCCTTTAAAAGTAATAGTTATAATTATAGATTAAAATCACTTTTGATACTTTCAAATATTTATTTTTAACAGCTATCCCTTAACCTAAAAGGAGAAAGCATTTTACAAAATATTTTCTCTGACCTCTCTATTTACTTATAGACTATAAACATTTAGACGACAAAGCCTGCTTTAGTAACTATTGAGCACTACCAGGTTGGACACGAGTCAAACCAATGACTCATTGGTGCCTACTGTTATTACACTCCACTGTTGCAACTGATTAAAATTAAATGTTGAAGCTGATAGCGTTGCAGAAGAAACTGTGTCCTCAAAGAACCTGAACTTAAGAGGACCAACAAAAGGAGCTGCTTTTTTCTTGTCTTTCTGCTAAATAACACATTTTACCTCATGTAGTGGCCCAGTATTGATGACAGAGTTGTTTCTTATGTTTTTGTATTAGTTTTGTTCATGTTCATGTTCTTTGTTTTTTTTTGTTTTTATATGCCTCTTGGTACGTTTAAGATACTGAAGCATTCATTCCTTTAACTATAGTCATTTCTGCATATTCTAAACTCTATGTCTATCGGGTCTGCTGTTATTAACTTACTGTATAACACTCTCTTCAGAGAGTGAATCTACAAATTCGAGAAAAATTCTCGGACCGATATTTTATTCTAAAAAGGTGTGAAACTAATTTAATGTATGTAAATACAGTGGATATAATGTTGGAATATAATTCATTTTTTATTAATTTCTTATTGGATTGTGTAGTTAATGTCAATTTATTAAGTGTATGGCTGTTCTAATTACTGCAGATCTCAGATAAAACAAAACATTTTAGCTTTTTGCGATCTGTTGCACAGTATAAACCAATGTATTGAGACAATACTTAAATACTAAAAACCTATTAGAAACAGCCCACGTTTGTATATAAAAAAAATAAGTTTTATGACTTAAAGATATTTGTTTATTCCTGCATTACTTCTGCATATTATTTCATATAACACAGTAATTTTCATTATAGTGACAGAAAGTTAAAATCCTTATTTAAAACAACAATTTAATACAGCAAATGATGTTTCTCTTTCATGATTCGGGACAAAATTTACTATCTTAAACAATGAAAATGTGCTCTTCTTACTCAAAGCTTAAATCATTGACATATATCCTGAATATATTTTGCTGGGTACTGTCCAGTATTTTAAGATTCAAAATTACTTTCTGAAAGTATTTCTTACATGTGGTTTGATATATAAAATCAAAAATAAAATGGGACTTAACACAATGAGAGGGATTTGAAGAGATTCAATAGTCAACTCACTGTTTTTCTTGTCTAGACCTGTCTGCATAGAAAAAAATGTTTTTGTAAGGTCCAGACAGAATTCATTTCCATGCAGCCTTTAATGGTTCCTGTCAGAACAAAACAGCTGGGAAACATATGGCATTCATTTTCCTATATCACTTGGAAAGAATTTTACATGTAAATAAAACCAACATAGAAGTGCAGTCTTTTGTGAACTCCTAAATCTTACAGAATGCATACATTTAAAAAATACAATCCATTCTTTGTTTTACGCCACAGGATTGTTTGACAATGATTGGGCTGTAAAAGCCTACTAATTTTACAACATTGTAAAATACTCTACAGTAGTTTTACTTGTATGTTTTAGAGTCACATTTACGATCTTCATTTGTATTTACCATTTATGGAAAAACCTTAGAAGTTTTAGGCCTTCATAGCCCTAAACTAGGTAAGGAGGTTATATTAATTTACAGTATGGCTTAATTAAGGCTGCTTTTCTAAGGTGCTTCTACAGTTAATTTTTATAGCCCACTTATTTTCTTCTGAGAAGGTTTTTGAAATTCAGTTACACTGAGGGTCCATACAATTGCAAAATGTAACAAAACACATGAAAAATACTATAGACCCTGGCCTATAAATAATCCTAAGAAGGGGAAAGGAATTCACATTGTCTTATTTTTTTAGACTTTCAGTACATTGCCTCATCCCAGTGAAGCTAATGATAAGAATTCCCAAAAATGTATGACATCTAGATAGTATAATACATTTCCAGTTTTTACAAATGGCTTCTTGACTTGTTTCTCCCCATATTTTTTAGAACCTTGGGGCTCTGTTCTTTCAAAAGTGCCCATTGGTTCTGGATTTATATCTGAATGTGCTTACAGTCTTTCTTTATGGCAATCTTCCCCTGAAACAAGGATTAGGAAAAAGGTTAAATTGATCTGAGAAGGAAATCTTAAGTCATAAGCTGGCATTTCTTTGATGTTCATGTTCAAAGAATTTTTTTCATCTCCTTTCTAATTCATTTTAATTAATACGACCCTACAAGAAGACTGTGCAAGATTTAATCTCTTTTGGTGTTACTGGTTTATTTCAGGATCCAACCTTGAAGTTATGAATAAATGATAAATAACTTTAAGGGAGTCTTCATTATAAGGATCCAGTACAAAGTGATTCAAGCAGTGTAACAAAAATTATGAAGGGCTTAGACATCGGAGGGGTCATTTCATGCAGTGTTAAATAGTGACATCTTGGGGAAGGGCATCTCTGTGCCAAAAAAGTTCTTGACTTAAGCTACATTTTTGAGGATATTTGTGCTTGTTTTCTTACCTACAGTATGCTGTAGAATTCAGGTATTGCTTGTGTATTACTGATACTGTACAGTATGTGGTAAATATCTGCCTTATAAAGTAAAACACTGACTCCTCGAATGTTCTCATTCCTGAATCATTTGATAGCACTTTATTTCATTTTTTTGCTTGGTATTTTCATAAACCAAATGACTATGTCTGTGTCTTAGTTGTAAACCATTTTGAGCTTATTGTGTTTCTTGTCTTTCTGTAAATTGACATAGGAGTCAATTTATCTGCATGTCTTGTGAGTAGAACCAGGAGAAATTCTTTAGGGACTTTATTGGAGATCAATTTGCTTGTGTTTGGTAATAGTCTACAAAGGTCTTTTCTGGCAGGAATGCAGTTAAGCAGCTTAAGGTGTCATGGTAAAATGATCCAAACAATAATCCAAGGAATAATTAAAGCATTAGAATACTAGCTAAATAAATTACAGACTGTTTGCTACAAGTATAAAGTTCTTCATGCACAGGGAAGGACTAAGATTGCCCCTTACTTAATTATATTTTTCACGAGTTTAAACAAACTTTGTTAATTGAAAATTAATCATTGATTTAATACAAAAGTTTTGTTTAAATAACACTTAATGTTTATACACCATGACAGCTTGATAAACCATAATTCCATAACTCTTTGTAAGTTTACTTACATGTTTAGCATTATAGGAACTGTTCCATGTGAAGCATTTTTAATATACATTTTGAACAGGATTTCATGTTAATTAAAAAATATGTATTTAAAGGCTTTTTTATTTTGTTCTGTTTGTCTAGATTAGGACATAAAAGTGATCTTAACATGAGTAAATCATTATAAGAGTCTTATTCTTAAATGAGTTGTTTTTCATTAGTTCCAGGAACAAACTGGAGTACTGCTGTCTCATCACATAGTGGAAATGGAATTAAACCTACTGGCATAGCAGAAGTTTACAGCAAATTTAGACCAGTTAAAAGGGTTTCACCGCTGAAGCACCAGCCAGAAACCACAGACAATGAAACGGACAATGACCAATCAAACCAAAAAGAAGACTTCAACAAAGAAGAGTCTTCTGAAAAGCTGCAGCAGTCCAACCTGTCTCCCAGTGACAGTCAGGGCTTTAAAAGCAAAGATTGTGGTTCTGGTGTATTATTTGGGGAGCTTGAGCATTATGACCTCGACATGGATGAAATTCTGGATGTGCCTTATATCAAGTCAAATCATCAGCTCTCCAGTCTCCCCAAGGTAGCCCCGGAAAAAAGAACTGTGGGTATGAATTCAAATGACAAAGGTCATGGAAACAAGACCTGCTCAGTAGTAAACTGTGAGAACCTGCCAGCAAGCATGACACAATTCTGCGTGCTGTCTCCTGTGAAAAGCTCAGAGCTGAGAAAGGCGCAGGCTATTGTCCCAGACCAGCACAGCTACTCGGCTGCAGGATTAGAGTTTTCACAGAATCTGCTTAGCTGTGGCTCCGTTCCCGAGGCTGAAACCCAAGGTAAAAACTTTCCAGGCAGGACGTTTGCTGATTCCCATGTTCATAAGGGAGATAAAACAATGCCCAACTGCCAACCCAGAATATTCCAGTTGCAGAACCCAGTGTCTGCAGAGAGTAAACTGGATGAAAATAGCAACCGGACCTGGACCAACGTGGGAGTGCAAGGAGAGCGAAACGAAGAGGCAAAGAAAGTCAAGAGCATCCTCAACATCGTCAGAGAAGGGCAGATATCATTGCTGGTGAGTTTGCAGAAAATTTGCAGACGCAAGGGGGTGATTGAGTGGTCAAGCTCCGAGAGGAGATTGTCTTACACTGACTTAGTTATTTTTTCAGTTCAATGTAAGCGGTACTTACTTCGACCTTGCTTTTAGAAAAAAAAGTGATAAAATGTATTGCAGCCACCATAAAACATCAAGCACTGATTTATTCTAAACCGATACATTTAATCATTTCAAAAAGCATTAATGTTCTTCATACTTCATGTAATATCTGATGAAGTAAGGAAATACACAACCTGCATTCATAATTTGTTTATCCACAGTTATTCAGGGATTAGCACATTATTCAGAGTCCTATGTCTGGGAACAGAGGGAGCTCTGTAAAGTGCTCATTATTATTCAGCACTGTTTGTGTCAAGTTGTTAAAGCAGCAGTTCACATAGTACACAAGTCTCCTTTGACCCACAGTAGAGGTTTTAGTTAGTTTCAGGCCTCTGATCAAACACCATGCTAATGTGTTGCCAGAGAAACCAGATTTGAATGCACACCATAATATACAAACAAGCCCAGTGAGCTATAGCATTTCTTTTGTTAAAGACCCCAAAGCCGTCAGAGTTAATTAGTAAATCTTACATTGGGAAAATAATTTTCTTTACCTTGTGGATGAAATAATGTACTGTGAAAGTAATGTACAGTATGTCTAAAGGTTTATATAATAAATTTGGTACTGTATCTTTTATCTGTTAATCATAGTAAATAACAAATAACTGGTATAACATTGTTCAGATTAAATGTGAACTACAACAAATTCAAAAAGAAATTCAATAGTTTTATAAGGAAAAAGTATTGATTTGTAATATATTGAAGACAGTCTAAAAGAACATAATATATGTGCATTTTATAAAGTGCTTGCTGAAGTGCTGTAAAGATTTTGCAATCTATTTATTCTAATTAATGTACAGTATATCTGGAGTATGGGATAATACATTTTAAAATAATGCCATTTATTGCATCAGAAGTGTGGGGAAACTTGACTTTCTGTTTTGACACCTTGTAACAGAAAATATTTTAAAAATAAAACAGAACACTAGCTTGGTTTATCTAGCTTATGTCCCCATTTACAGCTATATCTCCCACATGATATGTTTTGGCTTTTTACTGAAACTATAAACTTGCTAGCCTGAAATGCTCCAGCCTATAATTTCTAATGTTGTCCAGGAAAAGTAAAGTCATGTTAAATTTCACTTCTGAGAACATAATGCTTATTGCCATGTACTTTATCTGCTTTTCATGTAGTTGATTCTCAGTGATTTTTGCTACATGCACTGTACTCTCCAGTAAATTTGTTTAAACCCAAAAACTGCTCATATATTAAAAAGAAAATGCTGGCTCCTCACTCAAATAATTTCCATATTATTTCTGTAAATTAAATACATTCTGAAAAAAATTGTGTTTTAGCTACAAGGACATTATTCCCAGATCTTCCAGCATTCTTTCTTTATCCGCAGGTCTTTAAAACAAGAATGAAAGCACAAGTCCTTGGGTTTGTGTACTGATGACACTGCAACTGAAATCAGAAACATATTAAAAACAGCAGCACTACTGTCACATTTGTATTATATATAATTACATACCCTCTTTACATTTTTCATATGTATGCAGTTTTTTATTTCTTATCTACTGTTTATAATTTACTTTGACAGCCTTAAGTGGCAAATACTGACAACAGTTTGCAGCAGACTTCAGAAAGCTGTATATAAGTTGGTATTCACCAATGTATTGTTCATACTGCCTGTCCAGTATCCTTTGCATTTCTGTGTATGGACACCCATCTCTTGTTGCAATCAAATCTGTGGAAATGTATAAATGACAATTAATTTTTCCCTCAGCTTATGTTGCAGTGCTAGGAAACATAATGGTGTCTGACTAGCTTTTAAATTATTTTTGCCTTAAAATTATATAATATTTAATTTAGCAGTTTTAAAAAAACTCTAAGCACTGTACAGTTATATGTAAAATACATACAGTATAAAAAAGTAAAAAGAAGAAACAAAAAGGCACAGCTGACTGACCCAGAAAAACCAAGAGTAGACATAAATTATACATTTCAAGCTATAGTGAAAAAATAAGCTAGTAAATGCCCAAAGACTAGATAGTTGCACGTAGAATTTACTGATTCACTACTAAAGCCATAAATATTTTTGAACAAAAAAACAAACTTTGTCAACACTTACTAATAAGCCCCTATGTCACTTGGGTCAGATGTTACAGTGCAGGAATCTGTCTCTCTGGCTTCATCATATGCTTTATTTGAAGTTATATGTCCTTAAATCCTAAAACACAAGGTCATGTACTAGGATTTCAGATAAATGATTCTATTCTTCTGGTAAATGCTCTTAACTAATCATAAATTTGGTGCTATTGGAGATTGGCTTCAGTTGACTTCTGTATTTAATACTATATTTAATAAAATCTTAGCTAATGCCTAGTTCTTGTCTCTCTCCCTCTAACCCCGCACCATATCCCTCACCTGTGGGGGTTTATCCACATGATTCACATCATTGGAATTGTAAAAAACTGATTGCTTTAAACCAGGGGAAGATGTACAGTAAGAAATTAATGAGTGTGAATTATATGTTGGACACTGATGGTATCTCAAGTGAACTGGTGGGGCTAGAACACTGTAGCCCATAATGTTCGACTGCCACTGGTTTTGTCATTTTGGCATAGCAATATCATTTAGGTGAAAGTAGTATTGGGGACAAGAAATGCTTTTTTGCAATTCATTACAGGACTCACTCCCTTAGAGCCCTTGTGACTATTCATGTAGTTTTGGTAATCCCATGGTCATGGTCATTCATGGAATGTCGAAGGCCATTGTTTGCCATGTTTGTCGTAGACATCCGTAGATGTTGTTCTGTTCTCTTTACCAGTATTCTACTAGGTCTGTAAGAGATTTTGGTTGATTTAAAGATGAAAATATAAAACTGAGCAAGCCTTTATCTAGTTAAACTTAGTAATGTTAAATGTGAAGATTTAACTGGAAGGTAAGGTCTCCAGTTATGTTTTGAGGTTTTAATTAAATAAATGTGGGCTTTTCTTTAATAACATAGTTGAAATACAGTTGACAACAGATTCAGAACTGAAGAAAAAAAATGGTTACAAAGAAAATAAATCTAGCTGATTTGGTGTGTAATATCCCATTGATATTTCACTCTACTGTGAAATCATATTCACTGGAGCTCACACCTGGTTAGCTCCAGTGAATATGATTAAATGCCATGACTTGGTAGATAGTTCTAGGCACCCTCATCCCTTTTAGTATATTGATACATCTGTATATGGTATGGCAAGGAAATTAGATATCATTTACACTATTTCTAGAAATAATGTTGCATTTTATTAACATTATTAACTTGTTAACTCCCATATTTTTCTCTTCTGTGGCTGATAGCCTCATTTAGCAGTGGATAATCTGGAGACGATCCATGATGAGAATGGAAACAACCTCCTGCATGTCTCGGCCTCCCAGGGGCACGCTGAATGCTTGCAGCACCTCACCTCTCTCATGGGAGAAGACTGTCTGAGTGAGCGCAACAATGAGCAGCTCACTCCTGCCGGCCTCTCCATCAAGGTAAGAGGAACACCGGCACAAATTATTGCCATACAATAGTAGCAAGTGAGTAAAAT